AAATGGTAATATACATTATAGAATTTAATAATGTGTCTTCTCTACCTGTAGGAGCACAAATCTTCAAGTAACTTTGCTTAATATTGTTTATAGAAAAGACATTATACTTTGTTGGAGTTCCTAATAGACTTTTAAATAAAATTTAAAAAGCCTTCTAGTTTAAAGTAATTTCTATAAAATAAAAATGTTAATAAAGTGACGAAATAACATCATAAATAAATCATGATAATGATGATTTATTTTCTTTACACATAACACATTGTTTCTAGGTGTGCAATCACAGGGGCTAAATCATGAGTGTTAACCATAAGTATGTTGGTGCCAACCATGATGCCTTTGTGTGGGATAACAGTCTAGTTAACCAGTACATGCAGACATTGTACCAAAGTGAAGAGTCTGTATGGCTGCTAGGTAAGTTTCTACATGTAAATAAAATAGGTTAACTATGTAATATGCTCATATTATCTGCTACTAACTAACTGTTAACTATAACTAAAGGTCACAGACACTATTGTAATTCTAGACATTTATTTCAAATGCAAACTTGTTGTATCTGCAGGTGACTCTGGATACCCACAAAGACCGTGGCTGATGACTCCATACACTCAGCCAGACCCTGGTTCTGCTGCAGACACATACAACAAGGTACACAGCAGTGAAAGAGTTATAATTGAGAACACCTTCAGACGCCTGAAGAATAGGTGGAGGTGTGTGTGCAAGAACAGAGTTTTGCACTACAAACCCGAAGTGTGCATTAATGATAGTGGCTTTCTGTGTGCTGCATAACTTTTAATGTACCTGATGCGGTTATGGAACCCACAGGTACCTTATCAACTTATTATCCCTTTATTTTCTTGTAAATCAATAAGTAGAATTTAAATGAAATCAATGTTTATAATTTCATTTTATGTATGATAATTTAAAGTCAATTTGTATAGGGAAAGCTGTTTTAATTACTACAAAATATAATAATAAATATAATCTCACAACATTAATTTTCTAAAAGAAAATTTCTCATGTGAGTATAATTTATGCTACATACTTACTAAGTTCAAGCCTCCATGACAGAGGAAAGCTACTTAGAGAAAAAATGGTCCAACTAATACCACTAAAGTGACAATGTTACCATTTATTTTATATATTTCATTCGATTATTTTTAAAAGCGTATTATTCCTCAGCAAATTTCATAGTTTGTGTTTTGTTTCCACAGGTCACGAAGCTTTCGCCAGGGTGGAGTCTATTCCGCAAGAAGACGGTTCCCTTTTAACTTTGGGCCAATTAATGCGTGATCGCGTAGCCAGTATAGTGCATATTGTGCGTTAATTTTAATTATTAATATACACATAAATAAAAACATTTTTTTTATTTCCTACATATTTATTGTATAAGTATTACATTCGTTAGCCTATTTCGCTTCTAAGAGAAATATAATCAGCAACACTCTAAAAATAAAGCTGTAATAAACAAGTTCCAGTGTCTTATAATTTAGTAACTTAAAATCTAGTGTTAGTATGATAAAATGGTTAGTATAATTAATTAACAATTGACTACAACATTATGAAATAATAAATGTTATTTATTACTATAATAGAGGATAATAATAAAGACAGTAACACATTTTTAAAGATAATGAAAAACCAAAGAATGAAACAAAACAATTTTTTAGATAAAAAACTTAACAAATAAATTATTTTTGGCTTAAATTCTTATAAAAAGAAATAAATAATAAACGGTAGGTGATTAATTAACAATTGACACATTTTTAAATAATAAAATGTTGAGTACTAATTTTATTCCTATATAACCATTGCTGTCTCTATCAACTTCAAATAATTAAATACAATCTGCACATGCAAGAATAATTAGAATAACCAAGTAGTACCTAATACATCTATTTACCTTATCTACCATGCAATATCTTTAATTAGGTACTATTTAGTTAATAATAAATTACAGCTAATATATATAAATATATAAAATAATTACCTAAATTATAATTGAGAAAATATCTATTAATAATAAATAAATAAATATAAAAATATTAATAATAAACAAAATTAATATAAATCTACTCATAAATAATATCTACTTCAATATCTAAATACAAGATTTACTCCTTAATTTCAATATTATGATTTTAAACAAAAAGCGCTTCATCCTCTCCTCTAAAAACTAACTTGCTGTGCTCGACACGGTCCATAATTGTTTCTCTGTAATTTACCTACCAGCCTTGTATACATTATGGAATGCAATAAAGTATTGAGTATTGAGATTGAATGTGATGAGGAAATAATAGACAAAAATTAACAATTGACAAATTTTTAAATAATAAAATGTTAAGTTCTAATTTTATTTCTATAATAGATTACCATTGCTGTCTCTATCAACATCAAATAATTAAATACAATCTGCACATGCAAGAATGTGATGTGGATACAATACACAAAAACAAAGAAACTAACATATTTGCCAAAGAATGAAACAAAACAAAATTTTGAGGATAAAAACCCAACAAATAAATTATTTTTGACTTAACATCTAGTGTTAGTAAGGAAAAATAAATGGTAAGTAATTAATAAACAGTTGACAATTTTTTAAATAATAAAATGTTACTATGTACTTTATAACAGATTACTATTGCTTTCTCTATTAACATCAATTAATTAATTAAATACAATCTGCACATGCAAGAATGTGATGAGGATATGATAGACAAAAACAAAGACAGCGACACAATTCCTAAACGATACTTATATATACAAATAAATAATTTATTTGTTAAGTTGTTTTGTTGTTGTGAATGTCCATCTGATTGCTTGGTAACTGGGCAGGTGTGGGTGACCGAGGCTGCAGTATTGGTGGTGGCACTTCCAACTCTACAAAGTTGGCAGCCAGTGCTGAATCTTTCTGTAAATAAAGGAAATTTCTTATAAATATAGCCTTAGGCACTTTAGAGCATCTAGTCAGAGTATTTGTAATATAGCCCAAATTACAAGAAACAACAAAATTAGTTTAAAAAGATTTTGAAATTGTTTTGACTTAATCATGCCATAAATATAAAATTCTAGCAAAATGTTATGTATGTGGTGTGTATATAATGTTAAAGTTTAAAGTTTGTAATGTCATATTTATGTATTAATGTACATATTATTATGTAGTATTTATCTATGTAATATGACTTTAAATATTCATTAAGCAAAGCTAAAGCTAATGTGTGCATTTCACAATTGAGTAATTTAATTACATATAAGCTTATTATGAGTATCACAAACATTACAAAAGCAATATTACCTGAGGCACAGGAAATATTTCATTTATTGAAACCATGCCTGTAGCAGCCTCGGGCCCCATCAGGCTGAGGACTCACTGCTCCAGGTTGGTGATGCAAACTTTTAAAGCTGGACCACCACCAGTTAGAATTTGTTTTTTAGGTCACTCCACACCTATTACGTGCAAAGAAAACATGCTTATTAACTATTAAAATACAATGGCAAATGTAAAGCAAGTAAATTATTAATCACAGATAACTCTTGTATAAGTAGCATTTAACATCGAAATTGTCTCGATTGAATGGATTAACTAAATGCTGGCTTTATGGGAAGCCTTGATAATAATATAATTTTGATTATTGTTGTACCTCTTTCCATTTGTCCACCGGTTTCGAACTTTCGGTGGGATCAATGTTAAGCACCTTAGCGAGCTCCTCCCACTTGGAGACGCCGCTAAGCCTGCCGTGAGGACCACCAGCAGGCTTTTTAAGGTCTCCATTTCTAAAATATATGTAAAATACGCTAAAAATTAGAACTTGATGTTGAAGAATTAAAACTAGTATTAGGAAACATTCAATAACTTAAAAGATATGAATTAATACTTGCTTACCTTCCCATAAACTCCACCATCACTTAATATTGCGAGTAACTTGTCTTCGTACACATTTTTTAATGTTTTTTATTTAAAAATAGTACTAGTAATCGTCTTTTATCAAACTTGCTTGAAATGGCGGGACAATTACTTTTTCTTTGCTGTCAAAAGACCGAATGTATATCTATTTCACTCTTTTAGTCGAGAGTAAGAGAGAAAGACATATCAGTGTGAACATCGTACATTCGTTCGTAGTCTATGCTTCTCGTAATACGTTTTCGAGAGCTCGTTCGGTCCAAATTAGACACTCGTACTACCAACTTCTCGAAATCGCAATCTTTTTACGTCAGCTCGAAAACTTTCAACGTCTTGTCGCTGGGGAAACTCATACTAAGGGTACAGGCCTCCACTAGCGCATCGTCGTTGATAAGCCTCCTTGTAAAGTAGGTATCTGCTAAAAGGCAATCAAATACCCAACCGAGACTTATAAAAGTGAGTTAAAGTGACCTAGCCTTATTTAAGCAACTGGACCGAATTAGATTAGGCTGGTACCTACCTACCCACTTAATTTATTAAACTTAACATACCAAGTGAGTATCATTGCTTGTTTTTTTATTTTAAAGTAACGTTTTTATTGAAAAAATAATCGATTTAGGTAGGTATAATATTTTTTTACTAAGTTATAAATTGTATCAAACTGGATTCTATGAGGAAAAATACCGTGCGTTTATAACATTGGTACCCGTTATAACAGTCACCACTTCGCTTCTGTTGCAAAATAAGACGAAATTAAGTGAAAGTCGGTCTCACAGTTGTGTCATCACAAAAATAGCATCGCTGCATGGGTTTCGGTAGGCGCCATAATGCGAGCGAGGCACGCACGCCGCGCCCCTTACACACCAGAATAACACCGCCTCGCTCGCTCCCATTGGCAGGACAGAGATGCCAACACGTGGCCACTCGTCGCCAACTTCACACTGCACTATGTGCGTCATGTTGGCTGCATTATAATAACAATGGGCGGACCCATCCGTTTCTCAAGCGCTACAGCGCTATCCATTCAAACCAGTTCAACATGAATCATACTAACACCGCTGAATACAGCGCCGCAAAACGCACAAAACACGAGTTGTGTAAACTTTTTTTAATGAGGCTTACGTATCGGTCGTCCGGACTGGGCGCATAGCGTTACATTATCTCGGATTTTTTCTTGAAACTGTCTGGTTTTGTCGTTTATATGTTCCAATTCTTCATGGAAAAACTGTTTTGCGTTTAATAGTGTGCTTTTCGCGAGATTGTGGTATGCGCCAGTGCGTGACGACCGAGGCGAGATCACCGAGTCTGATTCACATTAATTATGTGAACGGTGACGAACCATTTTAAGTGCGCGATAACACGCCCGTTGTTCTCGGACATCCAGAACATTTTATTATTAGCTTGTGAAGAACTGTAATGCGATGCATACGAGCCGCTAATATAAAATCAATACTGACTGAAGTGTTAATCATTACCCTGATGTGAACTGGATTTTTTTACCCTAACGCATTAATTATTCGTAAATGTTTATTCCAAGCAGTGCCATTTCATTTTCTGACTACAGTGTGTATCTTAAAAATATTTTTAACAAAATCATGAACTTCGCGGTCGTTTTTGAATGTAGTGCGTGGCGCGTACACTAGGCGGCGCTGCTAACATAAAGACTTCGTGCGCTTGCGTGAGCTCAGTCCGCGCGAGCTTCGCGTCGTTGCAGTAGGTTCCAAAACAAGAGCGTAGGGCTCAGTGGGAGTCCTAGAAATAATAAATTCAAATAATCCTTGTGCTTGCAAAAGTGTCGCAGTGCAGTGTGTCAGTGTTGTGTTGTTTGGTGGTAGTGAAGCGGAGCGGAGCGTTCGGCTCCGGCGTGTCGGCGCGGATCGATAAAACGAGCTGGTATGGCGCAGAGGTCATGAGCCAGGGTGGCTCAAGAAGGCCCTATTCGCGCGGGGGCCCGCGCTGGCACCCGCGCTACAAGGACTACTGGGACTACGAACAAAACTATAGGTACAGTCTTCAGCCAAAACATATTATTACCTAGTGATAATCATTACGGATTTGTCACGTCGCATCTGGCAAGTTACTACGTGCTCGCTCGTGTGTTTATCAGCGAAACATGTACACAGGACCGGACTGGGCTGGTTGGATTTCGTCATGAACCTATTAAAAACTCCGTGCTGTTTACATAAACCCTCTTATTCAGATTTTAAAGTTTACGTAATTGTTATGACGTAGACTACACTTCGTTGAAGAAGGCTACCTATTCATTTATCATGCAGTGACGAAAAAATCGTTAATTATTTACTTCGTGTTTCCTCTCTGTTCTCGATTCAATGTCTTGTTGAAATTCCGTAGCGGCGATGTTTTAATATACGTAATGTTTCCCGTGGTTTTTCTCATGTTTTGTATACGCTTTTTGTTATACGTATTTGAGGGAGTTTACCATAATTTCCTGTTGAAATCTAACGAATTAATTTGAGTCATTGAGATTATTATATCTAGTTATTGTTCTGGTAGTAACTTAAAAAAACAAATAGTACCAAATTTTTTCAATTTAAATGTATTTAAAAAGAAATCTGTACCCTTTAGTAGGCTCATAATGAAATAAAAATGTACTTAGTATTTTTAAGATGAGACGATAAATAACATTAACTTAATACCAATCTCTACTTACAAATATTATAAAGTTGAAGAGTTTGTTTGAACGGGCTGATCTACAGAACTACTGGTTGGAATTGAACAATACTTTTGGTGTTGGATTGTCCATTTATGTAGGAAGGATATAGGCTATAAAACACCATGCTACAATTCATAGGAGCCAAGCAGCAAGTTGAAAAGCATGGGAGTAGCTAATAAAATTATTAGTTTCATTTGCTTACTGGAGGGTGTGCATAATAATTCCTTAGTCTATGGCATGTATAACGTAATAATTTATAAAAAAAAAATGTTTTTATTGAGCGTTAGAATAAGACCCACAAAAATTACTTAATCACGTTCATATACTTAATAAAGGGTAGCGGTTTAGGCATTTAGGTCTTCTTTTGAATGAAGGCTTTTAAACCTAGCAAGTACCAATTAGATTTTATCTAATTTAAATAAAATCTATGTAACTATTTCTAAACTTGTTAAGACATCTGGTGAAGGAAAAGATTGTGAGGAGAACTGAATTAAGTTTGAAATCATTAAACCTTCTTGAGTAAGCATAGTAATTAATGATCAGATCTCCTCTGTGTAACAAGAGACCATTGCTCAACAGAGGGCAGTTAAAAGCCAGTGATGTGATACAAAAAAAAAAATAGAAAAAGAACATGAAAATGCTGGAACAACTACTACCACATGCTCCAAGTTCAGCAAATATGTCAGGCTAATAAAAAGGCCAATAAATAATGAGGTAACACTGATTTTCAAGTCATGTTTGTAAATGCACCCATGATACAAACAAAAACCCTAGTGTAGGCCATAAAAATAAATTAAATCAACTAGTTACTCTATCACTAAGTCACTTAATCCAGTCATTTGGACCTTCACATCATGACAGACAGACAAACATAGTCATAAAATACAGGTGTTCTTAGAAATAGTGACATCACATCTTTTATCATTATGCTCTTAACAATCTAAGTGTATAAATAAAAGATTAAATCTGGTTTTCATTTCCTCATGTGTTTCTTAAAGACTAGATACTGAAGACTTGAAGATTTGACTGCACGGTTGGCGCGGTGGCTGGGCAACTGGCTGCCACGCAATGTGTCGCGGGTTCGATTCCCGCACGGAACAACTTTTTGTGTGATCCACAGGTTGTTGTTCCGGGTCTGGGTGTGATGTGCATGTGAAATTGAATGTTTGTAAACGCACCCACAACACAGGAGAAAATCCTAGTGTGGGGCAACGATTTAAAAAAAAAAAAAAAAAGAAAAAAAAAATACTCCCGCGCGGTTTCACTCGCTGCTCGTCTCCATCTGATTGTAGCATGCTGTTTTATAGCCTATAGCACTCGGGAACATTGTAGCTATCAGTAAGTGAAAGGAATTTGGGAATCCGACCTGTAGTTCCAAAGGTTACCCCCTACATAAAAACTTACAAATTTTACCTCTTTATAATATTAGTATAGATAATTTCTAGGAAAATAATTATATGCGTGTTTAGTACCTACCATATTATACTTATAGGTTTACATTTAATAAGTTTTTTGATGGAGAAAAAATCATCAAATTACTTGGGTGGAACAAGAGGGAGTGTCAGAAACATACTGACAAGAAACCATCCTGTTGCACCACCAGCTCTGGGCCGCATACTCTTAAAGATCACATTTTTAAATGTATGGTTTTTTGTGTGAGGAGAATCATGAAGTGACTTCTTCCACCTTGTGTGGGGCAAGAGTAAGTATACAAACTCCATAACTCTGAGTTTCTTGCTAGTTTTTTTCCATTGCCATCTACACTTTGGAACAAGCAAATAGCTTCACTACGAGGACAGACTCACACTTTTTATCTTTAAGCTTTGTTTGATTTTTAAAATGCTTGTAAGGGTCTAATTGAAATAAATTATTTTTGACTCTTACTGACTAAAAACCATCTGTGATTCAAGCAGAGGATGTGGTACATTATTCTGTTTGATCTGCAAATCCCTGATTCAACATGAGCCCTATAGACCCCATCTGTAGTAGTCCTATGGCTCGCTGACACACACATCTATACTAATATTATAAAGAGGTAAAATTTGTAAGTTTGTATGTAGGGGGTAATCTTTCGTACAGCTGGTCGGATTGCCAAAATTCTTTCACTGATATATAGCTACAATGTTCCTGGGTGCTATAGGCTATAAAGCATCATGCTACGATTAAATGGAGCAGAGCAGCGGGTGAAACCGCGCGAGTTTACATAAAAGTAGTACCTTCCCAATCAGAACTCTGCTCACAGACTAAAACAATGCAAAATCACCCTTATGTCTTTACCAATAAGGTGATCACAATGTCAAGTCTATTATCATTCATGTAACGATGACCTATGCTTTTTAGTCTATCTAATCATTGTGGCATTTCCTCTTTCTGTGTTTGAGTTCGTAATGTAGAATCAGGCTTTGTATTTATCCCTCTTTGAGGAGTGGCTTGAGAGACGCCACGGCGTCCTTACCTTCCGCCTGACGCAGGTGTTTACCGGGCACGGCAGCTTCGGTAGGTTCCTGTTTCGGATCCAGCGGGAGGAAACGCCCGGGTGTCGACATTGTGAGGACCACCTGGAGGATACGGTGGAGCATACGGTAGCGGAATGCCCTGCCTGGGCTGAGCACCGCCGTATCCTCAGGGAAGTTGATCGGCGGCGGCGACCTCTCACGCCCGGCCTTAGTCGAGGCCGTGGTGCTGAGTGAGAGGAACTGGGACGCCGTCTCCTCATTTTGTGAAACAGTCATGCTCGCAAAGAGAGAGGCGGCCCGCGTGAGGGAGCAATCTTCCTCCTCACGCCCCAGCCGCCGCAACTGGCGACACTACGGGCGTCGAGGATCGAGGGACGATCTCCGGCCACCGTAAGCACGGGTCTGCGGTCGGCGAGTAAGGGCAGCTCGCCGCCCGACCAGAACCAGGCCCGAGCGTACGGCGCGTAGCGTTCCGCGCGCGCCTCAAAGAGGCAATAGACCACCACAGACGGGGCCCTAAAAGGCTGATGTTCAGCCGCCTGGCCCTGGGCGGGAGAAGTCATTTGATGATTTTCCCCTCACAAAAAAAAAAGCTTGTCATAGTTCTCTGCTAGAGAAACAGCGGGTTAGGATGATCAATTGAGCTGAAATTTTCCATAAGTACTTACTTTTACTTTGCTTGACATTTCATGACATCGCCTATGGATTCCCGTAACACCAAAAGAGTTACGAGGGCGTTGCCGGTCTTTTGGTTTCGAATATTTAAGGATTGGGAAGGGATGGAAAGAGAGAGAGAAGGATTGGGCCTCCGATAACCTCACTCACACGGCGAAACACAACGCTGTGGTTGTTTCACGCCGGTTTTCTGTGAGGCCGTGGTAGCAGTCCGGTCGATCCGACCTATTTTTGCCTAAGTATGGCTCTCACACACTTATTGATAAAATATTGTTTACAAAAATATTTTTTCATTAAAATTTATTCTTTAATCTTTTCTACGTACAGTTGGTACCAATCATTAGCCATTACATTTAAGACGATTTTAAATGAATCATCAAGAATTAATTATTGTTTTATCTACCTTCAATAGACTATCAACCCACGAAGTTTATCTCGGATAGGTGTTGCAAAATTTGCTGAGTATAACGCCTAGTAATTATTACACCATGTGTGGCAATCGTGTATTGAAAAAAAAATCATCCCACAGTCATAGGAAAGACTAACTATGGTAGCGAAGTTCATTGTTCAATCTACACCAAGGATTAATCGTTTCTTTTCTTAGAGCTGATTTTTTAAATAGTCAGATAAATATTGTGTGAGAAATAAAATTGTTGCTGTCACTGTCTTATACAAACATTGTGGCGCGACAGCATCATAATTATTACCCAGATAACTTTTATGTAACCATTGAAAAATGAGCCTTTATGAGATACCAAATGAGCTTACTTGTCGCCTGATGGTAATCAATTGGCGTCGCCCTTGGACAACAAATAGAAATTTAAGGATCTGCAGTCAACAACTGTGCGATTTATGCAAAAAATGTAATGATCCTTTGGCGGTGGTTCTTCCGAACCGATACAACCTTCAAGAAACGAGCGTACTCCTTTTTAAAAGACCGGCAATGCGCTTGTGACTTCTCTGGTGCTGCAGGTGTCCATGGATGGCGCAGATCACTTACCATCAGGTGATCCGTCTGCTCGTTTCCCTCCTATGCCATAAAAAGCGTTGGTGTGCGAAAAAGCGGGGGAAGGATTGGACCTTCCGTACCAGGGTGTTGTAGTTAGATGTTTTTCCAGTTAGTAAACCATGGTTGCTTCAAGTTCCTTTGTAAATTGGTAGCTTAAAGTCAGGCGTACTGCACCGTAAGCTGTGTCAGC